TTAACTACAGCTTCAGGTTGGATGACCAACCTGTCATTTCTTAGCTCAGCCATTTTGTCTTCCTCATAACACTCTCTCCTAGGTTCTTCAATGTTGCTAGGAAAATTACCTAGAGGTTCATTATTTATAGCAATGGCTAACTGACCTATTTGAGTCTCTAAACTTCTAAGAGAGGAAGATGTACTCTGCATAACAACCTCCAAGCTATTTTGCTTAGCTTCATTCTTGACCAAAAAATCTCTAAGCAAGATTTCTAAGGATGAAGAAGGTGACTCCACTTGCTGGTTTTGAGAGTATTGGCATGTAGGCTGCTGCCTAAAGGGCTGTTGCAGGTAGTTTTGAGAAGGAAAATGAGGTATGGGTTGTGTATTAGAGGGGCCATCTTGCTGCCCCTGTCCTTGTGCATAGTGGAAACCAGAATTCTGCATCCAACCTTGGTTAAAATTATTGAAAAAATTATTTTGATTTCTATTGTAGTTTCCTACATAGAAAACAGACTCTGGGTTGGATGGACAACTTTGAAAAAGGTGTGGACCACTACAATAAACACAAGAGACACATGGAATTGGCTGGACAACTTGGTGTTGCATCATTTTGGCCTCTATGAGTTGATTTCTGGTCTTAATCAAAGTTGAGAGTGCATCAAATTTGGTAGAGAGAGTTGTAAAGGAATCTACATCATGTATTTCAAGCACTCTCATTTGAGCATCCCTTTCACTAGACCATTGAAAATAATTATGATCCATTTGCTCTAAAAGATCAAGGTCTTCTATGAAACTCAAACAACAGACACTTAATAGAAAAGAAAACTAACAAGCAAGAGGGAATCTAAAAATAAAAAAATAGCAACATTCAAAGAGAAAAAAAAATTATATACAAGCAAAATCTATAATCAAATATCAATAGCAAATCAATAAGCATAACAAACAGAATAAAGGAAGCAAAAATAGCAACTGAAATCAACAACACAGAAGAAAAAACAACAAATAAAAAAATTAACAACCAAATTATTAACATAGACTAGAAATTAAAATAACAGCAGCATCTATACAAACAGCGTATACATAAAATTAAATCACAAGACAAATAAAAAGAACAAAAATAAAAACAAATCTACAAATAAGAGAAATATACAGAAATTACAGATAAAGGCTAACAAAAAGAAAAAAAAGGAAAATAAGCTAGACTAACAGAAATACTAAAAAAAAATCAAAAAAATTAAAATAACAAAAACTAATTCAGAACAACAATCACAAATTTTTTTTTGACAATGTACGCCTTCGATCTCCGGCAACAGCGCCAAAAACTTGTTGCCTTGCGAACGGTTATGCAAGTAAGCGCGCAAGTATACGCGACAACAAGTAATATAGGGCTTTTGTGAGTCTCAGTTATCGTTCCCATAAGGATCTTTTTGGCATTTTTGACTTGACTAAAATTGTAATTGCTAATCAGAACAAAAAATAAAATAAAATCAAATTAAACGAACTGCTATTCTAAATCAAGTGCAATGAAAATATTTTTTAGAAGATTTTCTTTTTAAAATAGAAATTTAGTTGGTGAAAGAATTTTGAGCTGACTAGAAAATTAATTAACTAAAAGACTTGTAAATTTTTTTATATGATTTTCTCTTAAGTTTTAAAACAGAAAATTAAATTCTGATTTGGACGAAAATACAAAGTAACAAAAATTGATTTTAAAATCAGAGTTTGGAAGCAAGTTGGGTGTCAATTTTCCTTTCCTTCATTTGCCATTAGGATGCTTTGACAGAAAATAGTTATTGCTTCCAGCTTAACGAAAATACTAAAATAACTATTGTTTCCCAACAACAGTTTTCTTCCAATAACAACAGATGACATATCCCTATTTCACTGTTATCATAGGACCTTGAAGTACCATTTCCTAAAGTTACATGGGGGTAACTTCATCCCTGGAGCCATACCCATTGAGAGAGATCTCTCTCAACTTTCCATGTGCTCACAGTAGGGTCTAGTGTGAGTTATTTCCCAATAATCTCACACCACTAGGAGTAGCCTATGTGTGATCATCACATAATAAACTCAGCAAAAAAAAACGCACAGTAAACAAACTGGAATCAACACTTTAAACTTTAAAACATCACTAATAACAAACGAGTTCCGGGTACTCTTTCAACCCAACTCTAAGAAAATTAGCTCATCACCACAGGTTGATGAGCTAACAAACAACAAAGGTACATAATAAAAACAGCAACTTAAAACGTACGACTAGCAAAATATAAAGGCAGAGGCTATCTTCAACAAATAGCTCTGAAACAGTGCTTACAAAAATTACAAAATTCTAAAAACCTAAAAACATAACAGAGAACAGTAAAATAAAAATTTCCAAAGGGAAAATAAAAACTCCCAGAAGAAGGAGAAGAGAAGAGACCTACAAATGCTTTTATCTCCTCCTTTATAGCTGATCCCAGGTCACCTCCTCAAAACGTACGTATGCTCCTCGCTCCACTCGATCGTGCGTGTCCCTTGTACGATTAGCAACGCACCAAAAGGAATCTCCAGCCACCACTACTAACAACCTCCAGCTCATCAAGTCGATTGAGGGACTTGTTTGGATTTTTCTGTATCGCACAAAAATCGGTTAGTGTTTGTTTTTTGGTTGGTTTGATTCAAGAATTGAACCATGAGTGAGGCTAGGGTTCTGTGATTTCGACCGAAATTGAAGGACGGTCTAGATCGGTCAAGGGATTTGGAAGGATCGGTTGAGATGAGGGTCTAAATGAAGGTGGGTTTGCTTGAACGGTTTGCTGTGCTAGGTTTTTTTTCCTTATTTCAACTTTTCATGCTAGTGAGTTCTTTTACTTCCCATTCCTTTCTTCTCCTTCTTTTCTTTCTTTTCTGATTTGGGCTTTTCCCAAAATTGCTTCTTTCTTCCTTCGATTTGGGCTTCTGATCAGCAAGGATCAACCCATTCTTCCTTTATTCTTTTCTTTTCTTCTTTTCTTTTTTGACTTGTATTGTAACTCAGCCCAAGCTTTTCTTTCTTCTCTTTGCTTGTAGAAATAACACCAATTGGGCCTGAAAAATACAAAACCAGCCCATTAGCACTCAAAATCAGAATCCTTCATTTCTATGCAATATTTGGAGTTTATATTAATAAAAGATATCCTTTTCATTCCCATTTTAACATCAAACTACATGTTCTAAGTCACAAATCATGGACTTATGACTTTCCTCTTTGTAATTCCAATCAAAGTGTTAGATTTACTTTTTGAAGGTTGAGGTAAATGTGAATTATGTCTTTAAGGTCGAGGGAGTTTGCTAGGTAAAAAGAAGCTAACCAGTATCTTCAGCCAGGTTTTGTCGGGAGCTAGTGCATGTCATGATGTCAATTATCTTCTTTTAGTCGGGAGCTAGTGTAAAGAATGCATCGCTATTAAAATAATTCTTCCTACATAACTGTTGAATGAAGTGATTAAGAAATGACGTGGTAGTAGTTCTTAACCAAATTTTTGTTTTCTTTTTGAATATGGCAACTACATCTGAATAGTTAGCATTTTATATTCAGGTTGCCGATGCAATAACAAGCTAGTTGATATAATGCCCCGACCTTGGTACGTCACACGTTTACCGTAACTAGTGAAACGAACAATGTCACATTTATGGGTTTTTTTGACCATATTAGTTCGTATTCAAAAAGTTTGACTCGATTAAACTTTTAGTAAAATTTATTATCAGACTAATGCAGAGAGATGTGACACTTGACATGTTGCGTCTAAATATGGTAATCTAGTTATCGCTTTTAGTATTAACAAGGGACGTTGCATCTGCACGTTTAGTGTTGACAAGAGACGTGGTACTTGACATGTCACATCTAAACATGGTAGTTTAGCATGTGAAATTATGTTTATGTCTGTCGTTGTACTAAACGTGGTAGTGTGACTACTATGTCTAAATATGGTAATCTAGTTATCGTGTTTAGTATTAACAAGGGACGTTGCATCTGTGCGTTTAGTGTTGACAAGAGACGTGGTACCTGACATGTCACATCTAAACATGGTAGTTTAGCATGTGAAATCATGTTTATGTCTGTCGTTGTACTAAACGTGGTAGTGTGACTACTATGTTTAGATGTGGCATGTCAGGTGTCACGTTTCTTGTCAACACTATACTCGGTGAGTAGACTACCACGTTTAGACGCGGCATGTCAGGTGTCACACCTCTTTGCATTAGTCTGGTAATAAATTTGACCAGGAGCTTAATTCGGTCAAACTTTTTGAAAAACGAACTAATATGGTCAAAAAGTCGTTATTTTTATGTTGGTGTAAGATTATGAAGTTTTATACTCAATTTTAATGATTGATCCAGTTGTATTTAATGATTTACATAACAAAAAAGATTAAGAGTCATTAGATATAAATAAGATCAACGATTAAGATCGAAAGTATATCAATATAAAATGATCTTGAACTGGATTAGTATATGCGAAGTCCTTTTTTGTGGCAGTGGGATTTTCGTATTTATTTTTCTTTCGTTATGAATTGAACTACTATTGAGAAGCATTATTTGTTCTACAAGTTCCATTGGAGTTTAATTTTTCTTTTCTAAAATTAGAAACACTTTCATCACATAGAAAAACCGGCGGAGGAACATTCAATGCAAGAAGAACATGAGAGAACTAAACAAGTCAGAAATATGAACAAAGTACAACAACTTCACACAAGGAACAAAGGTGAAGGCCAAAGAACTAAGTCCTTTTCATGAGAGAATAATAACATTCCAATATTCGTAACACTATTTAAGATCTTTGTCCACAATTTGTCGCGGGGTCCAATCAATTTGGTTGATAATTCTATCATCATGTGTCTTTCTAAGCCCAAAAGCGACAGGTTATTCTACCATGTAAGGGTAGGAAGAAAATGTTTTTCTTTTTTCTTTTTTTTAGAGAAAAAAGAATCGGATTCCAATTTCTAGTGCTGAATTTCATGCCACAGCTCAACCAAAAGAAAAGATGAAAAAGATTACCAAAGTTTTGAAGAAGTGACTATCAAGTCCAAGGTCCAATCTATAAAGACGAGAGCAATATAGAGGTTATTATTTTCCTCAATTTATTCAAGTGATGCCGCAATCAGAAAAATCGCTCGGTAACAACCTTCCAATAATTCGTATGTCTTGCTTGTTTCGTTTTACTACTATGTTAATGACTTCTAACATTTTAAAATCTATTGGATTAGTTTACTTGCGAAAGTATCGTTTGTTTAACAAAAAAAGTGAAGTTTAAATTAGATATGATATTCAAGATGTTGGTTTGTTACTTGTAAATGTTAGTTTTAGTGCAGTAACTGGATGATTACTTGTAAATGTTAGTTTTATTTTTCTTATTCTACGTTATTTTGAACTGTTTGATTGCTGCAGGCATACCAGGAGATGGTAGATGTTTGTTTAGATCTGTGGCCTATGGTGCCTGCCTCAGAACAGGGGAACCATCTCCAAGTCTCAGCAGGCAAAAAGAACTCGCAGATGAGCTCAGAGCCAGAGTACTTTTTTTTTTTTTTTAATCTTATTAACAAATTCTTGTTTAAGAGGGCGAGTATGTAGTAGTGGTAGTTACTCTTTCGTCACTAAAAGGTCACGAGTTAGAAAATAGTCTCTACTGTCGCGTAAAAGGATTGCACTCACTCTTGTCCTCCTTAGTTGAGATTTGATGGGAGTGGTTTTCTATTAATAAATTCTAGTTTGACATACTTTTTGTTTAGGTATGTAGTGTACTTTTTAATCTTATTAACAAATTTTAGTTTAAGAGGGCGAGCATGGATCAACAGTTGCTCTTTTATGACTAAAAAGTCACGGGTTAGAAAATAGTCTCTGCTGTTGCGTAAAAGTATTGCATTCACTCGTGTCCTCTCTAGTTGGGATTTAGTGGGAGTGGCTTTTTATTAATAAATTCTAGTTTGACATACTTTTTGTGTAAGTATGTAGTGTAATTGTTTCTATGCTGGACCATTAGCAACATTTGTGCAAAGAGATCATGCTTTGGAGCTCAAATTATTTGACCATATAGATTCTTTTCATGTATTGATTATTTCGTTTTGATCCATATTCTAACCCGTATCATGGGAAAACATTAAAATCTTATTTGCAGGTTGTAGACGAATTCATTAAAAGGAGGGAAGACACTGAGTGGTACTGAATCTCTTTTATCATGAAGTCATATAAAGAGTCAGGGTTATTTGAAAATGTTGGAAGGAGAGTACTCATTACATTTTAACTTGTAGTGCATTTTGAAGTTGAACTCTAGTACTCATCTTTGTGTTTGATTTATAATGCACAGGTTTCTTGAGGGTGACTTTGACACCTATACGGTACAGATGCGAAAACCTCACATATGGGGAGGAGAGCCTGAACTTCTCATGTCCTCACATGTTTTACAGTTAAGTAGATTTCCATTTACAATACTTAAGTATGTGTCTCCTTATGATCAATGAGAGTTTTCTCATTAAATATCCTAAATTATGGTCCCATTCTATCAAATTATTTCTTCACCTGAGAAGTAGTATCTTGACTTTAATTTAGAATGTGATTTCTCTGTATTCATTTATTTTAATCGAAATTATAATGATTTTTTGAGAAGGGTTGCTTAATCATAATCATATATAGATAGTGTAACAGAAATATTCAGTGATAGTAGTAAAGGGGAATATTCCATGTTTTAATAGTAATATTTTCTGGTTCTAGGATGCCTATAACAGTGCTCATGCAGGATAACAATTCAAGTAACCTTAAAGTTATAGCTGAATACGGTCAGGAGTATGGTAAAGATAACCCAATTCGAGTCATCTTTCATGGTTATGGCCACTATGATGCATTGAAGAGTTCAACTGGTTATATGCAGTCTTAGCTGTAACATTTCTTGCAGCCTGATGCTCTTTGCAGTAACGGTAGAACTTAACAATGTGCATGTGATTGTTATCGTCATTGATGTTTAAGGAAAGCCAATGGCATATTGGCATTAGTGCTTCAATAACATGTGATATTTGATATTTTAATTTTAGTACCATTCTTATTCTTTTTTATTCTTTTTTCTTTAAGCTGTTTTACTTTATATTTATAGATCAAATATGATACATGATGTAAACAAATGGTTATCTGGAATTGTGAGAAATTACTTAACACGCGGTTCGAATAATAATTTTAGGGATAAGTTATTTTATCTATTATTCTCCAATTATATCAGAATTGTAATAAGAAAGAGAATAATAAAGATAGTTGAAATTATAATATAATAGTGTTGAGTGATAGAAAAAAGTACAAAGAAAAATAAAAATAAAATAACCTATCTCATAATTCTATACCTAAAAGTGGAGAAATTGCATCACCTCTACATCTATTTAGGCTCTTTATCACTCTACATGGCTTAGCAACGAGTTAACCAAGCTATTTGATCATTTTGCCTCTCATTAATTAATTAATAACCATTTTGCCTTTGATTCAAAACTATCCACCAATCTGCCCCTCTTTAATCGATTAACTTGTATTTTTAATCGATTAAATGGTTGTTAGGAGATTTAATCGACTACATCTCCCTACTTAATGATTAAAAAATCATACTGACTTGTTTCCCTTTGTTGTCTGTTGGGAGATTTAATCGATTAAATAGAGAGATTTAGTCGATTAAATCTCCCAACAGTCATTTTTGACTGTTTTGACCATTTAATCGATTCAAAATGCAAGGTAGTCGATTAAAGAGGAGCATATTGATAGATAGTTTCGAATCAGGGGAAAAATGGTTACTAATTAATTAATGAGGGGCAAAAGGGTGAAAAAGCCAGTTAACCACCTATTAAAGGCTGTTTCAAAGCAAAGAGTGAAAAAAAAATAGTCTAACAAAAAACAAAAAACAAAAATAGTCTTACACAAAAAGAAATTTGTGATTTTAAGAGATATTTTAGATGAAATTACACGGAAAAAAGCATAAAATATAAATAAATAAAGAAATTAATTCTAAGAGATCTTTTAGATACTCTAAATTATATTAAGATATAATTGTAATATCATACATCTTCTGGATATTCTAACAATTCTTGATTATATTCTTATGTAATTTTTTTTCTTATTTCATTCAAATAACTGCCATAAAATTTGTGATTATGTAGCTTTCTTTAATAATTGAACAGCCTTGAAATTTAAAAAAGGAAAAAAAAAATTGCTAAAGAAGCAAAGATAAACCATGAAAAGAGTTACAAGCTAAATTTTGGAAGCCATCTGGAACATTTTTGGGTATCAATGTACTAAAGAAAGAGAGAGAGAGGGGGGGACATTGTCAATAGTTTTATTATATTTTCATTACCAATATCTTCGCTTTAAGGGGAAAGCAATTGAAGGCCAAATCCGGCTACATATTGTATAATGGTAAATGGATATTGGAGGAAAGTGCTTGCATTGGAAATATCTACAGTGCTGACATCCACCCTTTCTTGTCCTCTCCACCCATCTGTCTTTTTTATGTTTAGTTCGTTTGCCTTCCTCAATTAGTTCTCAATATTTCCCAATCTTAGCTTGTAATATAAAATGAATAAGTCAATATCCATGGAAAACTTTACTTATTTACATCATTCACCATTTTTTTTTATTAAATGAAATTTTTAATCATCTAATCATAACTATCTATCCAGCCGCGGAGCCAGGTCGACTTAGAGCTCGGGCCAAAAAATTATATGTGTATTTATTTTTTTTTAATTTTAGTTAGTTCATATCATAATATATTTAAATTATATTAAATATAAAACACCTGAGCAGACAGTATCAAAAAGAGTTATAATTTTATTAAATAATTTTTAATTTATTAAATATATTTAAATTTTTTTATATAAGTGAAAATGGAACACATGACTTAATACAACTTACTCAAATTTCTCACCAAATATATTTTATTTTTTTGATAGGGCTAAATTATGATTTTAAATCAGGCCAAATTATAATTAATTATATAATTATACATGATAAGTACAATTTGTTAAAAGGGCCGAGGCCACCCTAGCCAACACATGGCTCCGCCACTGTATCTATCATTTATAATTTTAAGATTACAATATTTGTAAAATTTAATGAAGGGTTCGCTTTTTCTATAATTAATATAGATAAGTTATTTACATTAAACATAAAATGACATTATTTTGTGAGTAAATATACCTACAATGTAGAAACATTATAAAGTTTCTAATGTTTTAATGAATCATTAGAACATAATCATTAAAGCTTTTAATGAATCATTTGCATAATCCACGTTACTGAGTCATAGATGGCTTGTGATTTTGGATTTTGGTAAAAACCGGTAAACTATAATCAGAATCGGAAAATTTTGAACGGTTAGCCCAACAGCCAAAGAATCTTTCTTAACCCAGGTCTCACAACAGAACCCAACTTTTAAATCTTTATATTAAAATATAGTATCAATTTATATCGATGTAAGAATAATGAATTTTATATCAAATTTTAATCTTGAATTTTTGTGAATCTAATAGTTATAATTTATTAAAAATTAAAAATTAATTAATAAATATAATTTAATAAATCACAATCTTTAAATTGACGAAAATCAACCTTTTTTATTCTGACGCTAAGTTGATCCTCCCCCTAAAATATATTTTTTCGTGAAAAAATTATTTGATTGCAAGAGAGTTTCCTAAAATTCATTTGATTGCAATTGATTGCAAATTAAAATTCATGATTGCAAGATTTTTCCCTAAAATTTAATTGATTGCGATTGATTGCAAGTTAAAATTTAATTGATTGCAACAGATTTTCCTAAGATGACAATTAGTGTTCGACCTATACTACATATAAATAAAAAATGCTTTCCACTCCTCTCTGTTTTCCTTCGTGGTTTCCATCGAAGGCTCCAACTAGAAAACAAAACGCAGAGGTTCGATCATAAGGGAATCACGAAATTTGCATAGGTTCGGAGAGTGAAGAGATTGCTGTGAGAAAAACATAAAAATGACAGTGTTGGTGAATTGTGGTGCGGGGTTTAATAAAAAGGTTTCTCCCATTGAGTATGAAACAGAGGCGTCACAGCGTCTCGTAGATGCTGCAAATTACGGGGACACAGACTCTGCCTTCGCATGTGTCGCGAATCACTTTGTGGACCTGAACTTCGTCGGAACGGTGTCGTTGAAGTCCAAAACGACGGAGATCGTGCTGCAAGACGGGTTGCCTCACCAAGTTCTGTTTGGGTACGAGGAGTTCAAAACCGAGGTCACTGCTCTGTTCTTGGCTGCGCATAATGGGAATTTGACACTCCTCCGCAAGCTATTGGTAACACTTCTAACGTTGTTGCTCTTTATGAACTATTTCTTAAAATGATATTGAACTGTTTTGATTTTTTGAAAAGCAATTCTTATCATTGCCCTTTTTATTTTTTTCTTTCTAATTACTTTTTAGAGGGGAATCATAGTATCCTATAAACTTTAATCTTTTTAATTTGGTTACGAGATTGATTCTGAGTTGAAATTTAATCACAATTATAATTTATTACCAATATTACCAACTGAGCTACATCTATTAGACGCTACCCCAAATTTAAGTTTTCGGTTTTGTGATTTTTAATGTGGGACTTTTTTCGTATCATGTGATCAGGGGTATTAGATCTAATGGTCAGATTAATTAACCCAATGAACATAAGTTGATCAGGTTTAAACTACTGTGATTGCATAGTTTAAATACTGTATTCAACCAAACGATAGTCCAGAGAGGGTTTCCAATTGAATTTGATGATTCCGAATTCACTTGGGGTTGATCACGAATTGATAATTATATTTTTATCCAATGACAAAATAAATTAATGAATCTTAATTCTTTAGGTTGATTGTTTTTTGTTCTGATTTTTAAATCCCAATTTCAATTCTGTTTTTATTTAAATTTTAAATCAACAAAATCTCCCCTTTCTTTTTATATTCTATTTTACAAAGTGTTTATGATTTCTAGCAGGTTTTTTGGGAGACAATCCGAGTTGCCCTATCACTGCAAAACCTAAAGCTTGATAATTTGCGTGGGTTCGACAGCGCACGTCAATTACCCTATTCTAGAAAGGATCGTTACACAAACAATCAGCAAAAATTGGTAATCCCAATCCAAAACACGAGGATAATCACAATTCTAGTATTTCAAAATATTTAATTTAAGCATTAATCAAAATATTTCATTGCCATAATTAATTTCATTTAGTGAGAAAAAACCATGGTAGGTCTGCGAGGCCTTGTTACTAGCCACGTATAAACAATACTATTTTTTTTTGCCATCGAAGAGGATTTTCTTATTATTGCATAACTTGCTTTCGTCACTAAATTAAATGAGCATCTACTCAACAATGTTAAGCATTCTCAAACCATAATGAATGCAAGTTACTGGTTGACAAGACAATAAGCAAAAGAATAATGCCCATTGCACAGTACATATGCCAGCTTTTCACTTTAAGATCTATTAAATTGGGATAAATACATTTGCATTTACTATAAATAATTTCATACAATAATTTTGATAAACATCTTAAAAATAATATTGAAGAAAATGAAATAATTTTTTTTTTTTGATAACAATAATAATATTAAATGTGAATAACATGCTCCATCACACTAATAGTAGGGGTGTTCATCAACCGATCCAAATCGATTCAAACCGCGGTGACCGAACCGAAAAATCAATTACCGAATAAACCGAAAACCGAAAAACCAAAAACCGATTAAAAACCGCAAATTTTAATTGGATTGGATCGGTTTTTGGATGGGTTGATGAAAACCGATCCAGTGTATTAATTCCCCTCTACCTACTTGGGTCTTTCCCTAATCATAGCCTAAAAATTTCTAAACCTAAGACCCATTAACCCATCAACTAAACTCAAGAAAAAATATAGTCACATCTCATCAACAAAATTTTATCTTTTTAGACCTTCATATCTCATTGTCAAAAACAAAAAAAAACTATATTATAGTTTACTAATGCTTTTGTATTTCAATTTTTTTTTACAAAGCCAATATATACAAAAGATGCTATTTGCACAATAATCATGGATGAAATTTTAGGATTTTTAAAAAACCGAAAACCGATCCAATCCAAACCGAAAAAAATTGGATTGGATCGGATCGGATTTGAAAAAAATCAAAACCGAACGGATGATTATATGATCACACCGAAGGGATTGGATCAGATGATTTTTACTTCCAAAACCGATCCAATCCAGACCGCGAACACCCCTAACTAATAGCATGCAAAGGTATCACAAAGTTTTAATGATTTTTATGCATATAAATTTTTGATTTGCTTATCTTTCTTAAGAATCGCCTTTGAATGTTTGTTAAAAATTTCTATTATTTTTTTAAGATCTTATAAATTCATATTATCTTTTCAAATCTTATAAATTCTTTTAAAATCCTTTAAAATCCATGTGTGCCTAAATAATTAACATATTTTTTCAAATACAATTTCAATACTTTTATATAATATTATGTAATCGAATATCTTGAAATAATATGTTAATTATTTATACCATGTGTGCAATGCATATTTATCCTCTTACATACTCACCCACCATATAACAAAATATGTGAAAATTATATTTGCAAAATATTTTATTCTTTACACGCAAAGTACAACCATAGTGCACACTTTGGTCATTTGCTCCTACTATAGAAAATCAAAGAAGATATGAACGAAGCCCAGAAAGTTAAGAAATTAATGCAAAAATAAATATATGTTCCGATGATATTGTTATTTCAATTATAAAGTATACTATTACATTTTTTTTCTCGATTGCATAAAATATTGATTATCTTTTTAATATACGTTTAGTATCAAAACTAGTCTCTCCCTTCCTTCGATGATAGTGACATACTAAAAATAGAATAAAATAATACATATCAAAACATTCAACTGACATTTTAGAAGAATGAGAGAAAAATCAAATTTATTGATATTTAGAAGATGCGTTCCGATTCTTTCGCATTAAGTATGCTTTTTAAATTACTTTTTTTTTTGTAATAATGTGTGTTTTTAAATTTTGTTTTAATGATTTGTCCAAAAAATTTAGACCGTATATGCTTAAGATTTTCATTTACTTGAAGCATGGTAGTAGCTTTTATATTTATTATATTTTAAAATTAAGAAATATGCTTATGGAAGAAGAGGTAAGATTCATTCTTGCGCATGATTGATTCACAAGGGATGAGAAAGAAATGTTAATGGATAAAAATAATGATTAGTCATGCTAAACAGATTTGGAAAATAAAAGTAGGAATGATGGAATATAGATTGGATTCTAGTATCTAGGATGGCACCATGAACATTTTAAGTAATTTTTTTCTTACTTTCTTAGAAATTTTCAAAATTTGAAATACATGTTTTAAAACTAATAAAAAACCCAAAGAAATATTTTTGATTTTGTTTCCTTTTCATCTTGAAGTCTAATTATAGAAATAAAATCCTATTGTATGATATTTAAAACGATCATCTCATATAAGATGAGTGAGAAAAAATATTGAGATAAAATTATGGGGTTTAAGGTCATAATCTCTGGATCTGCCCCAAATCGGATTAATCGCGAAACAATGAACCGATTGAAATATCTCAAAAAAAAAAAAACGAGTTAGAAAAAATATTGAGATATAAAATGATCAAATTATCATCATTGATTTAATCATAAATATCAAGATTCTCTTACAATGTTAATTTTTTATTCTTTTCAAATTAACACTTGAAAACCAGGCTTAAGAAATCTTTGCTTGTTTTCTCTCTTTCCAAATTAAGATTAAAAAAATAATTCAATCATATGTTTTGTTTCTCGAAAATAGTAGTTCTCAATAAAATGACTGTATTGTCATCAAGCATAAGTCCAAATTTATTGGACCTCAATTCTTAAATTAGGATGTGTGCGAACTTGAGCATATATTGGACTCCCATAGGTACAGGGAATAACATTTATTATCATCTTCTAATTTATTCTCAGGACATCAAAACTTGCTAAAATTGTCCCCCTCGACAATAGAAGCAACACTTGGGGAAGTCTTTATGCATGTTATACCTTTCAAGTATTTTCTCAATATATGCCTTTTGGGAAAAACCTAAGACTCACAATACCGATCTCATGAATTTAATGCTTATAATATAAGAGAATTCACCAAGGTCATTCATTTCAAATTTACTTTAAAAAAATATCATTTGGTCTCGTACTACATGTCTAAAATAGTAGTAGCTAATACAATATCATTCATGTATAAAACGAGAATAATGAACTTACTCCCACTAAACTTAAAGGTATGCAATAATCTATCACATCTTCTTTAAATCTTAACTTGTTTATCACCTTATCAAACTTAAGATACTGTCTTAAAGTCTATTTTAACCTATATATGAATTTATTTAATTAATATCCCATGTGGCCCTTGACTTTTACCGTAAACCCTTCTTGTTTTGTCATAAAAAGTTCTTCATTATTCAAGTCACCATTAAGGAATGCAATTTTTAAATCCGTATGATATATTTATAAATCATGATGTGCTACGAGAGAGATAACAATTCTTAATGTATCTTTAGTGACAAGTCAAACCTGGAATGTTTTAATATTATCCTTTGAGTCGAGGACCTATTTACAACCTATAGACTCAACGTCCGTAGGCAATTCAACTAGCTCCCAAACTTTTCATAGAATTCATCTTATCTTCAATAGCTTCCAACCATTGAGATGATTTGTTGCTAATAACAATTTCTTTGAAGGAGGGAGGATCTTCTTCATTCTTAAATCACACCCTTCCTCAATTAGTTATACAATGTAGTTATTAGGTATAACAAGTCTTCTCTACCTCTGTGATCTACGTAAGGTTCTTGAGGCGGTTCAAGAGGTTCATTATTGTGGTGGTGCATTAGGAATGTCATAACCTGTAATAAAGGTGTAGAACTTGCAAACTCTTGAATTATAAAAAAATGTAACGTAAATCCAATTTTTATCTAGGTTCATTTTTCTAATTCCATTACTCCCATTAAAGTTGTCATTTTTCATTTTTCTGTCAAAAATTTATCACATAATTATTTTTAATCGAAAAATATCGACGGACAACAAATTCTGTTGATAATTACAACATAATAATATTCCGTTTAAAATTTCAACGGAAATTTTCCGTTGAAAATTGCAACGACATAGTTTTCTGTTGAAAATTCATACGGAATTCTTTTCCGTCGAAAAATGCAACGGAATTTTTCTGTTGAAACTTTTGACGGAATAATTTCCGTCTAAAATTGCAACAGAATTTGGGTCCGTTGAAACTTTC